TACGTCTGCCCAGTTCATAGACAAGGATCTGGCGCCCGAAAAGTCGCCCGGGCGCCGAACTTCCCACCTTCTACAGGCGGGGAGCGGGTGGGGACCAGCCCCCCTCCCTGCCCCATGCAGCATCCCTTACCCACCCCCACGCCCTGGCTGGGGAGGCAGCGGGGACCCAGTGCCCAGCGCACCAGCATCAGGGAGGCGCTCCCGGAGCACCCACTCCCTGTGGAAGTGGAAATCCCACTTTGAAAGGGCACAGCCCCCGCCCCCGGCCCGGGGCGCCCTGCCCCGAGGTCACTCACTCACCCAGGCCGAAGCACAGCAGCCCGAGGGCCAGGGCAGCCCGCGGACCACACCTCATGTCCCTACCGGTGGTTGTCGCGGCTCGCCGCCGCCGCCCAGGCTGCCTCGGGAGCACGGAGCACGCCCCGGACCAGGACCGCGGAGAGCGCCCCCCTGCCTGTAGGGGGGCGGCGGCGGGCGGGGCTGCGAGGAGGGGCCCGGGTGCTAATCGGATGACGAGGCTCTGATGTGCAGGTGGAGCGCTCCTGCCACAGGCCTGGCGAGACCAATTGGTGGGCACCAGCCCGCGCCCCGGTTCCCAGCAGGGCGAGAGGGTGGGAGGAGGTGAGGGGTGAGGAGCGCACTCCTTTCGCCTACCGCGCCCCGGTGGCCCCAGCCAGGAGCGCAGCGACCAAGGAGCTCTTCCATCTGCATCCAAGAGGAGTCAGTGATGCGGAGCTTCTGTCCCCAAACTCCCCAGAGAACGGGGCTTGTTTTCTCCTGGGGTGGCCATTCTCAGGGCTACCAGGTGGTCACTTCAGGGTCAATTTAGGTTCCTTGGAATGATGCCCTCAAGAGAATGCGTCCTTTGACTACCCCTGGACCAGGTTTCCAGGTTAGGTCTGGGCATCCACCCCGGAAACCTTCCTGGGAGCAATTCCCCCACTCCCCTTCCATCCTTGGTTTAGGCCTTATTGACCTATATAGTTAGGCCTTTGGGAGGAGGAGGGAGAAGATGCATCAGTCGTCCTCGGAGATTCAGTATTTCAGGCCCAGGCAACCAAAACCTTTCTTGCCAGATCCCCACAAGCCTGACTCTTTGGCCAAAAGGACACATTTTACATTAGACAGCCATTTAATGTGGGTGAAGGGAAAAGCAATATCCAATAAAGGGGAGTTCAGCACACTATAACCAAGGCAAAGGAAGACACTGGGAGGTGCGCAAGAATGAAAGGCAACAAAGGTAAACTCTATCACACACATAATCTTGTAATAGCAGTGATAACAAGCAGCTATCTATGATTGGATACATGGGTAGACATGCATGCTGAACAGGTGCACCAAAGTGAATGGGATTACACCTGTGAGTACATTCAGGTTTGACAGAGGGCATTTCTACACATGTATTTGTACATGCTGCAAAGATATTCTTTCCTGAGTGGTGTGTTACACTGAAGAAGCAAAGCCAGTGACATATAGGTATAAGAAACATATATGTATGAGAGAGAAACCCATGTCATGAGAGAGCAGCCTATACAGTCACAGAAGCAGACAAGCCCAGGCTGGCTCAAGTCAGATGCTAAGTAAGAGGTCCTTTCTGATGTATGCAGTTGCCGGGACTGATAAGCCAGGAAGCAGGCTGGTGCAGATCAAGTCAAAGGAATCCAAGGTCAGCAGGCAGCATGGTGGGCTGCCAGGCCAAGTCTGGAGATGCTAGCTGCAAGGAAAAAGGAAGAGAAGATTTCCATAGCATCTATGTGTAGATGATATAGGCCACATCCCCTCAAGAATGTCATCAAGCTGTGACCTGAGTAAAGGTTTGCACTGCACTCTAATGGAGTGCTTGGCTGCTCACAGCGATCCCATCAGGGAGTTCACATTATATTAGGTCACATCATGGAATACTGAGAATCCCAGCCCATTCAAGTTGACACAAAACCCAAGTACTGCAAGCTTGCCTAACCATTCAAGTTGACACAAAACCTATTGTGTTAGTCTGGGTACTTTAGATAAACAAATCCACAGACACTCATGTATAAGAGAGAGTTTTAAATAAAGGTTAAGTGTGCATCAAGAAAACATCCCAACCCAATGCTGTCCAAGCCCACAAGTCCAACATTAACCTGTTAACCCATATGTCCAACACCAATCCACAAAGTCCTCCTCCATCTCACAAAACAGACGCAATGATGCTGACTGCAGGAGGAAAGCCGAGTCAGTGAACATGTAAGCATCTCAGCACTGGCAGGGGTCTCCACACGGCTGCTCCAGCACCCAGGGCTGCATCAGGGTAGGTCCATGTGGCTTCTCCTCAGGGATGTCTTGCAGGAAGTGAAGCATTGCCAGCTGAAGCAGGGAACTGGCTAAGGCAGCTGCAGCCTGGTCCGACCATCAGAAGGCAAGAGACCCAAGAACCTGAAAGGCGAGGCTCACTGAGCTATTTATCCCTCCGACTTTCAATTAACCCCACATGTGTTTATTGGCCAGGTTGGCACAATAAACCAACTACCTCACCTATCTATTGCAAACTTGCCTAACCCAAATCACTGTCATGGAATCGTCTCACAGTGACTGTATATGAAAGAATCGTACTGCCTCTGGGGGTTTCTGAGATGGTAAATCTTTACAGAAGTAGAAAGCTTATCTTTCTCCCACATGGTTTTGAACTATTGACCTTGGGTTAGCAGTCCAGAGAATAATCCACTATGCCACCAGAACTCCTTCATACCGCAAGGAATCCTCTAAAATTTGTGGGAAAATTCCATTATCTTTTCATTTCATTTTTCCCATGAATTTTTGGAAACTCCCTCATGTAGAGTAGAGCATACAGGAGGCAGAGATGTGTGTGTGGGTATATATATATGTAAATTTATATATATATATATATTCATTGTGAGGTTCATGTGGCCCTTTTAGACTCCTAATGGCTAATGGCCCTGGTACAACAGAAGGAAACTGCCTTGTTCTGCACCATCCACACAATGGTTAGGTTTGAGCCCATTGTTCAAGCCTCTGTGGCAATTCAGCTCTTTAAGAATCTTTCTCATTTCCTTGACCCCTGGCTTTACAAAGCACGCGGTCCTTCTCCAAGGCTTGCTCCTTCCTAAACATCTCTAAAGTGTGTGAGATGACGTTTCACCATCCTCAGTTCTAAGCAGTTTTCGGACTGTACTAAGATATTTGTGTTGTTTCTGAAGTCCATGGTGTATTTAATATTCTTTGCTAACACCATCATTCCAATGTCTCAATTCTTCTTCAGCCTTCTTTATTTGTTATGCATCTGTCACCTGCCATTGAAAATACCCTGGTTTGGGTCAGAGTCACCTGGATCATTTTCTTCACTTAGGTCAGCTTGAGAGATGTGGAGCATATTCTTCCCTTCTGGCTTTCCAACTCCAGCTCGTCTTACTTCACTCTGCCTCGTGGAGCTGCTTTTGAGATTTCCTCTTCAATTCTCTAACTTCATTACGTCTTCCGTTAGCTGTAGGTTCTCTCTGTGGAATAGCAAGTTTCAACGTCTCTTCTGACACCCTTTGTGCTTTGTATGGCCTGTCTTTTGCGCTCTTCGTGGTTGATGTTTGTGTCATCATTCCACCACTCATCTGGTCTTCTTCAGGAGCGTGCAGTCTCTTCTTGCCCTGCTCTCTCCATTCAGGTGGGATATAC